GGTCAGGGAAGGCTTCCTCAGTGAACTGACTCTTGAGCTGATATCTGAAGGATTAAGGTGTCAACTAAGTGAAGACAGGAAGGAAGACAGTCCAGGCAACAAGACCAGTGGCAGGAGAACCATGAGGGGAAGACTACTGCTCTATCCCAAAAGTAAAGGGGGCATAGTAAGAGATGAGAGAGGGAATCATAAAAGCGCTGTATGGCTTTAAACCAGGGGTGGGGGTGGAGCAGGTGAATGGGTGGAGGGAGACTGTGATTGATATACCATTTTCTTAATGTTTATTTATTTTTGAGAGAGACAGCATGAGCAGGGGAGGGGCAGAGAGAAAGGGAGACACAGAATCTGAAGCAGGTTCCAGGCTCTGAGCTGGCAGCACAGAGCTTGAAGCAGGGCTCAAACTCATGAACCATGAGATCATGACCTGCGCCCGAGTCAGACACTTAATGGACTGAGCCACCCAGGCACCCCAGATTACCATTTTGACATCATCCTGGCAGCAATGAGAAAATGAGATCAAAAGGAATCCAAGTCGACCAAAGTAAACACAACTGTAGCCCAGGAAAAAGATAACTGTTTTTTTGAATTAAAGTGATAGAAACGGAAAGAATCAGATAAAATTGGCCGCTCCTAATGATGGACTGGATATGAGGGGTGGGAGGAGGTGACATGGTTGTCCTCTGGATCTCTGGCTTCCACACCTGGAAGGGCGATGATGTCAGCACAGAAACAGGCAACAAACCTGTTGCATGGAAGTGAGCAGGTTGTGACTGGCTCTCTTCTCTCTCTCCTGTCCCCCGCACAGTCCTGTCTCCTTTTTTCACAGCAAGGTTATTGAGGCTCCCATTTTGGGGTTCATTATCAGTGTTCACAATGATGAGTCCTCATATGTAAAGTGCTAGTTTAAGTGTTCAAGCTACTAACCATGCAGGTCCCTCTACCTGGAATATCCTTCCTCACTGGTTAACTCCTTCTCCTCCTCTACAACCCAGCTTAGCCTCTCTTATCTGGGGTGCTCTTTTACTCTTTCTTATACTCATGGCAATCTCAATTTGAAAATTTCTTATTTTGTGCTTTTGTGCATTAGACTCTAAGCCTCTGAAAATCAGAAAATGAGACTCATATTTGTATTTGTATCTTTAGAGGCCAACATAGCTTTTGACATACAGTTAATATACCACAACTCTCTTCTGATTCACAGATGGAGAAAAACGGTATGGAACAGTGATGTCACTTCACCTTTGCAGAGCTACCTACTGGATGAATGCACAGTAAGACTAGAACTCAGGTCTTCCTGCTCAGAGGAGTCCCCTCCCAATAGCTCACATGCCTCTGGCTGCTTCCCTGATGTCAGGTCAGGCTGGAATCATTGTTTGTTGTGGTTGGGGCTGCTCATTAGTCAAAGATTTGAAGAATAGCTTGAGCCACTATCCGGGAATCACAAAAATGAGAATTGCACATTGCAACTCTTCAATGAGCCAGCAATTCTACTGTCAAATTATGAACCTTGTACTACTTGGAGATTCTATAAAAGCCTGAATGAGGAAGATACTTGGCAAGCAAAAGGAAGAAAGCCATGGATTTTTTTGTAGCAAATCATTTGTGTCTCTGCTCTTGCAAAATGAGGACAGGAAGAAGGAAAATAATGTAATTGTGATGGAGTCAGAGAGCAGCCAATCAAATTCTTTCAAAGGGTTCTGTAAGGGTTGCTTTTAGGTAACCAACTTCAAATAATGAAACCATGAGTAAGGTAGAAGGGCCCACAGAGACCTCCAATTCCCTAGCTGAATACAAACAGGCCCATTAGGCAACCCACCTCAAAATATCCATAAGCCCTAGATGACCAATGGGTCATTGGTAACCCATTGGTTACTTACCCCAGGACACAGATACCAAAAAAGGAAAATTACATACGTTCCCATACCTCCTTACCTTCTCCCTTAACTATAGCCCCCACCCCCCCTCCTTTGCTGCCTTATGGCACAGAGTCTCTCCTTTGCTGTCCTGCCCACTGCTCCCTTGCAGTGTATTCAATAAACTTCTATCTCCTTTGTTCTGCTTTGTGAATTCTTTCACTGCCTGCACCTCTGGCCTCCAGACTATGGGGTCACCCCACATCCAATCGGGAGACCTCCACAGACTCCAAGTGGCATTGTTTCCCAGGGACAGAGAGATGTGGAGCTGTAAGGGCCTGATCCATGGAAGCCACAATTTGAGGTCTGACTAGCACTACCAGTGGCACTGCTGAGGGGAAAGGTTTTCCCTTTCACATTCAGAAGAAACTTCTTCTTCTCTCTCTCTCTTTTTTTTTTTGTCTGAAAACCCTAAACTTCTACATATTCTGCAGCTAAGCATGCATATAGGCCAGACCATTACACAATAGTGAAATTTTGTCTTCCAAAGTATCAAAGCATAATTTTTACAAAGTTAAAAATGTAACTCTCATACAAATATATAGTAAGCATGATAAGAATGTATTTAACTCATTAATAAGAAGATAGACAAGATGTCCATGTTATGGAAACTGGTCCGGATCACCCGGCAGAAGAACCTAGCGGCACTCAGAGATCTTGGAAGGAAGGAGGTTTATTTTACACCGGTGCGCCCAGAGGAGATCATTCTCCAGAGATCTGAGCCCAGAGCATCAACAGAGGGGACAATTTATAGTCTGTGACTTCTGTATCCCTCATTAGTAGTAATTTGGCACCTGTGGCAAGCAGGGTAGGAAGGAAATCTCAGAAGGGGTGTCTTCTGACAAGGACTGGAATTCCCTTATCAGTCCTGTCGGCCATCTTATAACAGATTTTTTCCCTAACATCCAAGCTAGTTCAAAGGCAGATATAGGAAAGTGATGTCACTATACTTGGTGAAACTATAAAGAAAGAATGCTGGAATACGATTGCTAAATTAGATACAAAATCAGTTAATGTTCCAGAGACCCATAAAACCACAACTTTCAGAGTTCTCTTCTCTACTGGACACAAATTATCCTCATCTCTACCAGGCAAGAACCATTTGTACCCTGTCAGTTAATACTTAACTTTACTGTCTGGGTCCTAATCAATAGTAAATAATAATCAAGGTTACATTCTCATAGAATCAGATAGGTCATGTTAGAGTTGAAAGGATACATTGCTTTTGTTTTGCTTGGTTTCTAATCACTGGATGAATTTTCATAACAAAATGTTCACAGGAAGGAAAATAATACATCCATCAATATTCTGAGATACCCAAAGTATGCTTGAGTGATTAGGAAAGTGGGGGATGGTAGCGGAGAGAGAAAGGAAAATGGATCCAGGCTCCAGATACTATTGTTTTTTAAATCTTCTGATTGTGGAGGCCAGAAAACGATAAATCTTGCCTTGAGCATTTTGATCTCAGGTCTCTTGCTGAGGGAGAGTTGAATGATGCCATTCTTCACATATTCAGCTGCTGGGTAAGGTCTATAGATTGCAAAGACATTCCATCAAGTTGGTTGGTTCATTAACTCACTATGTTTCACTTCATTCATTTGTTTGTTAGGTGCTGGGATATAGCTAATAATAATAAAGAAGGGATTCACATTCTGATGGTGGCTAAGATAAACAAGAAAAGAGTAAACAAAGACACAGAATATTAATGAATTGAGAGAGCAGTATCAATAAAGGAGTAAACTTCATTCTGTGATGGAGAAGACCAAGCAAGGTTGAGTAGGTTGGCCACTGAGACTTCTCTGGAGAGAGGCAGCAAGTAAACAGAGGTCTGACAGGCAAGAAGTTCCAGCCATCAGTACGGTGAAGGAAGGTGTATTTCAGGTATTGGGTAACATAAGCACACAAGCCATGAGGCTAAAGAGGGCCTTGTGTGTTCCAGAACCTATCTGAAGTCCAGGGTGTTCAAGGGTGGGAAACAAGGCAGAGAGTGACATACGGAAAGACGAGTGGATGGAGTCATGATGATCATGAAAATCTCTGCAGGACATGACAGAAATTTTTTATTTTGTTCTAAAAACAACAGAAAGTTATTTAACAGTTCTGTGCAGTGGAGCAACGCAAATTTGCATTTAAGATTATCATTCTAACTGCTACATAGAGAATGGATTATGGAGGGCAAGTCTTAAAATAGGAAGACCACTTGGGAGTTCACTGCAATAAGAACCAATAAGACCTAAAGCAACATAATGACTGTAGAAATGATGAACAGTGGGTGACTTTGAGATGTATTTTGAAGGTAGTCTTGTGGGCCTTGCTGTTGAATGTAGAAGAGAAGAAAAGCAGGATTCAAGACTCCTAGGCTTATGCTATGGTTCAGTAGCAAAATTTACTCAAATGGGTAACACAGAGGGTTGGAGAATGGGGTCAGGGGGAGGCAGAACTGAGACGATCGGGGCAGAGAGGAATCTAGAATTCCACTGCGGACTTACTAAGTTTGCCAGGACTGTGGCCCATCCAGGGTGAGATGGCAAGGAGGCAACTGGATGTGAGTCTGGAGCTCAAGTAAAAGGTCTCAGTTTGAAGTATCAGTTGAGAGTCTCAGCATGTAGAAGACATGTAAATCTCTGAGAACAGATGACATTTCCAAGGGGAAACGTGCAGAGAGCCAAGACAGTCCAGAGTTGAGGGACAAGAATTAATTATGCAAGAGGTCAATAAACAGTATAAAGGGTTCAACATTTCCATGTTGCTCCCAACTTTTATTGAAACCATGCAACCATTTCATGATTTAGTCTCTTTCACTGTGGAACACTCTTAGTCACTGCTGCAAACCTGATTTGTGTGTTACTAGATGAAATGACCATCAGATGAGTCCAATGACATATACCTCAGAAACATTCTCCATCTCCCACTCAACAGCACCAAATTCCCAAGAAAGTAATACAGAAATATTATTTTCTTTCTTACTGGGCTTCTAAACACCCTTTGGTGTCCCGTTTCTCATCTCTCAAGAGCTCTCCTGAAAAAAGAGGTAGGGAGGGTAAGGGTAAGGATGCAGGACAGTAGAGTGGAGACGCTATTCCTTACCTCTTCTTCTTCAAGTAGAATGAGCCGAACCACAACAATGTGAATTGCATTGCCAATACTTGGGTTATGGAACAACCCAGTGACCTAGAGTCAGAAATGGAAAACCATTAGCTCACATGCATAGATAAATACCAGAGTGGGGGGGGGGGGGGGGAATAGCACTGTGATGCACTTGAAATAATGTTATTTTATAGCTTAGGAATTTTGGGGGGGAGTGCAACAAAGAGTGAGAAATGCCCTCTGGCCCAATCCATACTATGATACTTAACAGCAACCTTTCCAAGGTGACTGACTAGCTGTGTGCTTGAGGGACTGATGCCTTTCTTCCCTTTGACCCTTTCCCTGATCCATAGTCTTTCTCTCTTGTATTATCAGTTCATTAGTCAAATACCTTTTCCCGTCTCCATAAGACTAGCACTCTCTCTAACACTCTCTCTGGGAAGGCAGAAACACCAAGGATACAAAAGGGAAGCCTGGAATTAGGGGGGTCATTAACTTTATTCCAATTCTAATTCTAACTACCTTGAGGAAAGCATGTTCTAATTCTTTGCCTCAGTTTACTTATCTGTGTGCTAACAAAAATTGATGAGATAAAGTCACACTAAAAGGATTGAGTCACTTGAGCAATACCCAGTAGAAAATATGTGACAAATCCCAAATTTCCCTAGGATACACACCTTTAAGAGACAGAATAATTAGCCCTGAATTTCCATCCTTCCTCACTTAGGCAGGGAATAGATTCATATATCTATATCTATATCTATATCTATATCTATATCTATATCTATATCTATCTATATCTATCTATATGTATATATATATATATATATATGTATATACATAGATATAGATACAGATATATCGAAAGAACAAAAAAGGTATCTCTTATTTTTGGAGGGTAGAGCATATCTAATGACACTGTTCGCCAGCTGCCTCTCCCCACTCCAGGGTCTGACATACCATGTTCATGATGGTGAGGATATAGGACTCCACATTGTCACTCCCATGATACTCAATCATCTTCGTGTCAGCCACCACCAGTGTCTCCACCCATCGCTCTTTACTGATGGAACGCCGGGACAGGCCTCTGCTAGGCCAGTGGTTCCTCTCCCACTTTTCTCGCTGTTGCTCTAGTGTCTGGGAGGTGGCAAGACTGTCTAAACATGAAGCAGAAGACAGTGGGCTAACTCTATGTATTCTCATATACTACTCACTTCTGCTTGTCAAGATGCAAGGCCATAAGTTTAACTTCTGTTTAACATTGTAGGAATGCAAGGTTCTTATATACATGACTGAAATGGAAGAAGAGATCAATTTAAATGATTATGACCAAGATAACTGGAATTCGCATCTTTTTCTTAAAGTTTATTTATTTTGAGAGAAAGAGAGACATCAGCAAGGGAGGAGCAGAGAGAGAGGGACAGAGGATCAGAAGTGGGCTCTGTACTGACAGCAGAGAGCCCAACGCGGGGCTAAGACTCACAAATTGCCAAGATCATGACCTCAGCCAAAGTTGGATGCTTAAATGATTCAGCCACCCAGGTACCCCTGAAACTTGCATCTTATAGAGAGGTTCAAAGGTACTTCTCTGAAATAATTATTACCTATTTCATTAAATAGACTCCTCACTATTAAAAAGATGTTATAATAAAAAATAAGAACTTTTTCTTCTTCTCTTCCTCCTCTAAATATTTCAGTGCCTACTATGTGCTAGGCAGTGTCCTGGGTTTTAAAACACCAAGTTGTTTATCCTCATGAAGGTTTGAGGGACGTACTTCTATCTTTGTTTTGCAAATGTGGGAATTAATGTTCAAAATGACTGGTTCAATAATTTCCCCGAAGTCACATAGTCTATAAAGTCTGGAAGATCCAGGGTTTTCTATGCCCTAAAATCATGTACGTTTCATATACACCACACTGTCTCCCGCAGAGTAAACATGCATACAACAGGAGAACATGAAAGCTGCAAAAGCTGTATATACTTCAAGAAGGTATAAAGATAGAGTTGATTACCCTGGTTTGCTATGTAGCCCTTCTGGGTTCCTCAGTTTCACTATCTGTGTGACGTTAGAACATATCCAGTAATATTCACCAAAAAAATGTGACATAATTGTAGGTCCAAATAATTTCAAATTCACTTCTTGTCAGCTTTACTTGAAAATAATAAAGCTGTACTAGGTATAGCACTTTTGGAAAATAACCCAGGATTGTGTTAGCCTTGAAGGGAAGTCTTGTGAATATTTGCGAACAAGGAGATGGTTGACCTCTCATCTGCCTGTGGTAGAACAAGTTTCTATTTTCCTTCTCCACCTACTTTGCAGGGATAAGTATGTTTTTCCTACGAAACCTCTAGAGATGTTACCAATGGGTTCTGACTCTGCATCCTTACCTACCCCCCTGTCTGTCACCCTCTTTTTGAGGATGGGAACATTTCAAACTATGTTTCCAAATCTCTCTGTACAAGCCAAGGAGCAAGCCATACTCCAGTCCATGTGGGATCTGTGTTCTAGAAGGGGCGTTAGCAGACCAGGCCAAGTAGAGGAATCCTATCAATCCAGTTCGGTGTGATCTCCTTCTCTCAATCCCTCTTGTCCTTGCCATATGGGGTGGGGAATCTCCTCCAAGCTGCAAGGATGACCAGTGCTCTCCATGACCTTATATATCTGGGTGAGCAGCTATAAGCATCTTCACCCAGTGCCCTAACAAAGCCTGTAGTCCTTGGTGCCCCCTCCTCACTTGGTCCTGTAGGCTCATCACCCACCCCCTCAGTGGGGGTCCTCTTGCAGAGGCTTCCGCTGGCACGAGTGTGCATTGTGCAGCCCAGTCATTAAAGCAGGACCCCTTGCTCCAGGCTGTGGCTATGGACACCCCTCCTCTCAGGCCACAGGTACCTAAGGTTAGGACCTGGCAGGAGGCTGCCACCCATAAGACTCTGGTAGGATAAAGGTGATTTCTCTGCTTCTCCCAGTCCTTGCTTTTCTTGTGTCTCTGCCTTTACTCCCCCTCCTCCACCTTTTATCTCCTCAGTGTTGAGCAAAAGAGTTTAAAGGGGAAAAAAAAGATACCTTTAAAGCCCATGAAGTTATTTTCAATTTTTCCAGCAAATAGTCTGGTGAGTTCTCAGTAAACGGGCATGTAGGAAGAAACGTGGAAATGAGAGATGCAGGCTGGTAAAGACATGTATCGATTTAACGTTTTCAACAAGACCTACACTGAGCACTTGCTAAAGGCCAGATCCTGCGCTAATGAAAATGTCTTCAGGTTTCACGTATTCCCCAAGGAGAGAGATATCTGTACTCATAAACGTGCCAGAAGCTTTGCAGAAGTGGTAGTGGTGGGATTCCACCTGGACCCTGATGGGACCAAGCTGGGAGAGGATCGTATACACCCAGGCCGACTCTGTCCTCATGAAGTCATCCCAGACTTAACAGAAAAATTGCTTCTGCTCAAGAATTTCAGACTGTACAAGAAGCCAGCCGTACATACTTCTCTTCAAGGTCTGGTGACAAAGCCAGACAGTTCTGTAGTGGCAGGTGAGGTGCCAACAATTCTGGGAGGCTCCTGACCTTGCCACCCCCCCTCCCCCCTCCACACATACACATAGTCAGCTCAGGATGCCATAACAAAATACCAGGGCTTGAAGGACAGAAATGTGTCTTCTTCCAGTCCTGGAAACTGGAAGTCCAAGATCAGGATGCCGGCAAGGGCAGGCTCTGGTGAGAGCTCTCTTTCTAGCTTGCAGATGGCTACCTTCCCACTATCTGCTGACATGGTTTTTCCTCAGTGTGTGCATGTGGACAGATTTTGTTCTCACCCTCTTCTTATCAGGCCACCAATCATGTTGAACTAGGACCCCACCCTTATGACTCCATTTAACCTTAGTAACCTCCTAAAAGCCCTGTGTCTGAATACAGTCACACTGGGTGGGGGGTGGGGGATTAGGGCTTCAACATGGGAAATCTGGGAGGACACAATTCCGTCCATACCCCACACATACTTTGTTCAGAGATCTCTCTTTTGGGCAGGCCTCTAACTGAGAACTTCCACAGTGCTGTAGTTTCCTGCTCCTCGAGGGGCTGTCCAATGTTTTTCTTCTGACAAAATTCTTTAATAAAACTTATAAAAATGAATATTTAAGAATTCTCTTACCTCGCATTGTTTTCCTTTTCCACCCCCAAAGAAAATACAAAATTATCAACACCCACACACATATACCCTCCAAACTATAGTGACATTCTCTACACAGGACTACATTAGAGTTTAAATTGGTGAAAAATCAAGAAAATTCCAAGAAGTGATTGCAGGGATGATTTTTTTTTCTTCAAAAAACAGCTGATAGAAAGTAAAGCAATTTAAGTAAAATTATTTTCCAAGGTTGTCAGAGGTTCTTGAAGTTCACATTTCAACTACAAGAAGAGAAGCTCACATCAGAGCCTGGCCTTGCTGGCTTTGTAAAGGGCCAGAAGGGCATCTCCTTTCGCTTTATGACCAGTGCCTAATACCATGCCTGGCAAACAGTGGCGCTCAATAAATGTTTGATGTATGGGTGAAGGAAAAACTGAAGATGATCAGAAACAACTTATGAATCACAAATACTGAAGAATTGCAAGAGTTAGTTGTCTACTTTTGCCTATTGGATGGCTTGTGTCAATTAAAGAATGTTCCACACTGAGACTGTGAAGTGTCTGTTTGAAGGGGAGAAATCTAGCCAAGTGGGCAGTTTTGGGAAGGACAATATCTAGTCCTGACCCAGGACTGACTTTCCCAAACCAGAAGCCAAGGAAATGCAGGTATCTGTATTGTCTGATGAGGGGTGCAGGACACCCTGTGCACTAACAGAACAGAGGGCCTACAGATCTCTGGGGAATACAAATAACTGACTTTTTTTTTCCCTTCCCCAAACCCCAAGTGCTTTAGGCAGCTCTTCACAAAGCTCTGTCTCATTTAGAGCTTTCTTGGGTAGCAGAGCCCATCTGTCAGACTCAGGGTCGCCAGGACATCTGCAGGTAGGTTGAACCATGGCTTGAGCAAGTTGCATGGAGAAGACTCAAGTTTTCCCAGGGAGCAAGGAAAGTGAACACAGAGAGTAGAAGACTCAGAAAATTATAAAGTTTCTTGGACTCTAAAGGATGTTTTTTTAGCATGCCAGGAGCTTCTAGCATGGGCAATAAAGCCACGTCTTCCACTGAAGGACTTGCTCAAGGCTCTGTCTCCTATCCTGACCCAGCTCTTCCCTCACCTCAATTCTTTTCTGCTGCCCTATGCACAGATTTTTCATAGAGAAGGAGGATTTCTCCCTGGCATGAAGGATTACCTACCACAGACTGGAAACTGGATGTTAACTGCACCAACTGACAGATTTGAGGCCCAGCTTCCCCCAAGAAGATCCTCTCAAGTTAATCTTCTCCAGGCCACACCCAATAGCTTCTAGACGCCCATCTTCCTGCCATCAGCACGAGTGAGGTTCCTGAAGCACAACGACTCAGCAACAACACAGACACGGACAGCCACCTCTGATGAAATGCCTAACAAGAGCCTGGTCTGTGATAAACACTTTTTTATTTGATAATGTACTAGTTAGTTCTCAATAACCATATGAGATAAGTCTTATTATTGCTATTTTAAAATAAGAAACATGAGATTAGAGAAGTTATAAAATTTGTTCAAAGCCATATGGCTAATAAGCAGCAGACCAGCATTTTAGATGAGTCGGTCTGAATCTCATTCAGATTGGTGCTGTGGGGATAGCGGTAGTGTTCCTGGGAAACCCCTGCCTGGAAACTGCAATGTGTGGAGTAGAAAGGGTTAGCTCAAAACAATCATCTTAGCAGAAAAGCTGGATCAGGCACCAGCTGGCCCCAAGCTCCAAGTCCCTACTAGTCCCAAGCAACACTTGAAGGAAATTTGTCTAGGAGAAGCTCAATAGGTAATACGTGATCTTTTGAAACTGGCTTTCGGGAGACAATGTCTCAGTTCTCTTGTATAATCCAGACACATGCTACTTAGAGAAGATGTCTTGGATCCAGAGTTGGTGGTTAGAGAAATGACACCGGGAAAAAAGAGGAACATCTTAAGTCTGATAAGACCTAGAAAGCTTTGGTTCAGGCCCACCATTGACAATTGTTTCACTCCCCATCCCTATGACCTTGGCCAAAAC